TTTCCCGCTTCTTCAAGGTCATGACTTAGCTACAGGGGTTTGCACCCCACCCCTCCTTCCTTCTTGGAGTAAGAGAACAAATCCCCAGGTAGCATTAAACAAAGAGCAATGGGGCACCTGTGTGACTCAGCTGGTTGAGCATCTGACTCTGATTTCGGCTCCAGTCATGATCCCAGGGTTGTGGGATCAAGCCCCTTGTTGGGCTCCATGCTGACTGTGGAGTCTGCTTAAGATTTTCTCTCTCCCTCGCTCTCCCTCTGTCCCCTCCCGGGCTCGCTCTCTTTCTGTCTTTCTCAATTAATTAATTAATTAATTAATTAAAAAAGAACAATGGCCTATGGTGATAACAGCAGATACAACCCACCAGAGCTTCCTCTGCATGGAAAACAGTTTCAGGCAGGGGCACACAGTACACCTTTGATCTTTGATACAAGCTGGTGAGTCAAGGAGTATAACCCCATTTAAAGAGAGGAAATGAGGTCAGAAGTGATTCCATTACTGGGGCGCCTGGGTGGCTCAGTCGGTTAAGCGTCCGACTTTCGCTTAGGTCATGATCTCGCGGTTCGTGGGTTCGAGCCCCGTGTCGGGCTCTGTGCTGACTGCCAGCTCAGAGCCTGGAGCCTATTTCAGAGTCTGTATCTCCCTCTCTCTCTGACCCTCCCCTGCTCACGCTGTCTCTCTCTCCTAGAAATAAATAAAAAATATTAAAAAAAAAAAAGAAGAAGTGATTCCATTACTTTATTCAAAGTCATTAGGCCTCTAAGTGGGAAGACGGGATTGGGGAAACAGGGTCTGGACAAAGTCTGCCTGGAGCCTCTGTCCCCACACCCCCACCTTCGGGAACCCTGACCCTACGTGGTCCTGGCTCCTCTCCTCTCACACCACCTTCTCCAGGGAGCAAGTGTGTCCAGTGGTTTGGTCCCACTGACCCTGGAGAAACTCAGGCTGAATCGGGAAATAACCTCTCCTGTAACCTACCAGGAGGCCCGAGGCAACAGCACAACCCAGTGAAGTGAATTACAACAGCCTGTGAGAAGAACAAATGTCCAGGTAATGGCACGAATCATCTTGACTTTGCAGCTGCTCAGTCTTTGGTTCCAGGGAGCTGACATTCGTTTGGGCCCCCCGGCCCCAGGCAGTCCCCTCCAGGCAGAAGGGGGTGCCAAGTGCTAAGTGGAAATAAGACTGCTCCTGTCCTCACCACCCGCTGGGTTCCGCATGCTCCTGTCTGCACAGCCTGGAGATCCCTGCTACCACAGCAAGCCACGTGTGGCGCTTCTGACAGGTTCCTGCTGTGTGACATGGAGACCAAGAAAGTCTGAAGCTTAAGTACAAGACAGGGGAGGATGGGAGAACGGTGTCTTCCTGGTCCTGTGCTGCCTCTCGGAACCTAGCAAAGTCAATTACCTGTGGGCCTCAGGCTTCCCCTCCCCCACTCCACCTCCAACAGGACCCCTGAGGGAAATGCCACTGGGTAGGATGAGCAAAAACAAAACTCTCAGAGACCAGGATGGTTATCAACGTCATCCACCTGCTGCATTGACTGAGGCCAAGACTAGCTCTTGGCTATGATCATAAACTTCGGAACTTGCCCTCAGCCCAGCCCAGTTAGGGCTGGAACCATCAGGCTGTGCTTGGGAGGTACACAGGAGCCAGGCCACCTGCCGAGGCTCCCCTTGGTAGGTGAGGACATGGATTAGGTAGGATATGGATCCTGAGTGACACTAACTGGCAGCCAGTATCCCACAGATGTCCCCCAAGAACCTTATGTTCCCACAGACACTAACGTAGGTGCTGCATGAAAAAGACCTGCAGATGAAATGAAGGTATAAATCAACAGACTTTAAAATACAGAGATTATCCTGAATGATCTGATGGGTCCACTGTTCTCCCCTTTGCGGCATAAGAGGAAGGCGCAGAAGAGTTGGCCAGTGGGGGAGATGTGATGGGGAAGAGAGGCGGGGGTAGATGAGGCAGAATGAGGCCAGCAAGGTCCGAGGGGGGAGAGGACTTGAGCTGCAGTAGCCAGCTTTGAGGATGGAGGAGGAGCAAGGGATCTGGGTGGTCTCTAGAAGCTGAGAATGACCCCTATCTGGCAGGCAGCAAAGAAACAGGGACCTCAGTCCTACAGAAACATGGGACCAAAGTCTGCCAACACCTGGATGAGCTTGAACATGGGTTCATTTCCAGAACCTCTCAAAAGAAATGCAGCCTGATCCACACCTTGCTTTCAGCCCTGTGCGACTCTAAACAGAGAGCCAGCGGAGCCGTGTTGTGCTGGGACTTTTGAGATAATAAACGTGTGTTGTTTTAAGTCACTAAGCTGGTAGTAGTCTGTTATGGCGGCAACAGGAATTCAATATACCAAGCAAAAGCAAAGCATTGCCATTGATCTATTATCAAAACAAGGAAAATAACCAATATGGAGACATTTTCCCTATCCTATGAAGAAAGTGGGAGGGGATATAGCTGGAACATGACATCTGGAACATGCTGGAACATGCATCCTTTACTTCAGGGTTCCGCACTCTGGCACTATATACATTTTGGACTGAATAATTATTTTCCGGTGGAAGGTGGGACCGTCCGGAGCATTGGAGGATCATTAGTAATGTCCTTGGCCTCTGCCCACCAGATGCCAATAGCACCTCTTCCCTATCAAGTCATGAAACTGAAGATGTCTCCAGACATTGGTAAATACCCGCTGGCGGTAAAGCTTCCCCCTGTTGAGAATCATTTCTTTACATAATCTTCTAAGAGCATAAGGCAAAGAAAGGTTTTTATAGGAAGCATGAATCTCCTCGCTGTTTTTCAACTTGCCAACACATTTATCAAATATCCATTTCTCAAATGAACACAATACTATATGGATGCATCCAAACTGTTATCAGCTGTTATCCTCAGCACCTGGATATTATGAAAACATACACACACGTATATAAATGTGTATGTGTAGATATAGATGTTATGTATATACATTTTGGTTTCCATTTAAAATTTCACAAAGTGGACGCACATTGCTTCCACGGTCAAAATAAAATGAACATGAATTTAACAAAACTTCATTCATCAGCGTTTACTGAATGTCTATGCCAGGCCTGCCTGAGGTTGGGTACCCAGTGGTCCCTCTGTTAAGGAGCATCAGTGCTGTGAGAGAGGCAGGCAGGTGAAGTGGGGAAGGTCAAGGTGAAGTGTGCCAGGAGCAAGGGTAGGAGGTGAGGCGGGGGGCAATGGAGACTGCAAGTACTCCAGGTCCCAGAGTGGGGAGCGTTCAAGATCAACTTCAGAGCGTCAGCAGCTCGGAGTCCAGTGGGCAGGGCACTGCAGGTAGATGAACCGGCATGAGCAAAGGCATGGTGGCAAGAGATGTGACAGGGGCTGCAAATGTGCTCGATGCCTGGAAGATTTGGGTTAAGATTTGGGATAAGAAGGATGATGCTGTTATAAGACTATGGTGGTTCAACCATGGTCCCAATACTTAACACCCCCAGGAGCCTCTGCAAGGAACCCTCAGCCCTGGAAAGGGCATGTTTTATTTCTGCACCTGCTGATGCCCGTCACAGGCTCTCTGAGACTGTCACCTGCTCCTGGAAATCCAGGCCGCTTACTCAGTGGCCCTTAGTTCAGATCGACTCTGAACAACCACCAGATGAGCCCCCGGCTCTCACACATTTGTCTCTGTGTAGCCCCCGCATGGCCTCTGGACCACACCCAGACAGCTCCTCTCTTCTGCTGGAATATCTCCTTCACTTACATTCTGAACGGAAGTGTTGATGGGTAAGACTCGGAGGCCCTTAACCCACCCAACCTTTGGAGAGAGAAGAGAGTTTATCTCTAACAGGCCACCTCACATGTGCCCAGCTCTGAGCTAGTCCCTTTTCTTCCATTATCCCATTTAAACCACACAAGAATTTTGTGAAATGATTGCTCTACACTCCATATTAAAGATAAGAAAAACTGAGGCTCACAAAGGTTAGGTAACATGCAATTTAGTGTGTTGCCAAGTTGGAATTTGAGCTCAGAACTATTGTATTCTGAGACTTAACCTTCATTTTCCATACCTTTCCTATACTTGGTTAAGAAGAGGCCTCCAGGGGGTGCCTCGGTGGCTCAGTCAGTTAAGTGTCCAGCTTCGGCTCAGGTCATGAGATCATGACCTGTGGGTTCGAGCCCCTCATCGGGATCTATGCTGACAGCTCAGAACCCGGAGCCTGCTTCGGATTCTGTGTCTCCCTCTCTGTCTGTTCCTCCCCAACTTGTGCACTCGTTTGTGCACTCTCTCTCTCTCAAAAATAAATAAAGATTTTTTAAAAAAAGAAAAGAAGGGCCATCCACTGGGTCCATACTTTAGGGATCCCTTTGGCCCTTGTCCAATCATACCAAGGGGCCATGTCATGGGTCCCCCAAGCCCTCTCCTGGCATCCCAGACTATGAACTTTGCTGCTACCTGCCCAGCCTGGCCCCTGGTTCATGTACTCATGATCTCCACATTCACCCTGCTAAGGGCTGATAGGGACACAAGTGTACTCACCCCTGGATCTGAGTGGTAGCCCATGGGGAGGCTGGCTGCAGGGTGAGCAGTCTAGACACAGCCTGGACATATGGTCTGAGTGTCCAAAGACTTGGGCTGGGTCCCTCAGGGTGGCCAGACTGCAGACAGGAGGCCAAGGTGCCAAACAGCAAGATCCTTAATTCTAAATCTGAAACTGATCTTTCAGGTATTATAAAGGTCAGTGTTGGAAGTTAGAGCATATTTCATAACAGTGTCTTAGCTTAATTTTTATCTTTTAAACTCTCAATGCATGGTGTATCAGCTTCCATTTGTACCCTTGCTCTGGGCCCACACATGGAGAAGCATTCCTGTTCATTTTGCTCATTGTGGTCTTTTTGTTTGTTTGTTTTATACAGTGAAGAGAGCTATCAACTCCCATGTGAATGAAGAAAGCTTTGTGTCTCATATTTGAAAATCTTCAGAGAATGATTGTCATGGGCTGTATTACCTTTTCGTGATCAGGAAGCTCTTGTAAAATAACTTGTCTCTCCCGACATAGTTCCAAGAAATCCTCAGAGTGCAGACTTTCATGTAAGGCAGGGAAGAAGGTCAGCTGGGCACAGTCCACTCCTACCTCGTCTGTCGTGATGTCATCTTCCTTTGGTGTCAGCTCATCTGCAGCAGCATAAAGGGACACACATTTTTCACAGAAGCCACCTGACCTCACAAGGGATGGTGCACAGCTTGGGCTTGAGCCACTGAGAGAAACTGCAAGGCTTCAAGGCAGAAGTGAGTGGTGTGGATCTCAGAATGTGCCTCACTGTGTTTGAAAGTGGACAGTGGTCTGGAATACTACATGGCAATGAGAAAGAATGAAATCTGGCCATGTGTAGCAACATGGATGGACCTTGAGGGTGTTATGCTGAGCAAAATAAGTCAGGCAGAGAAGGACAAATACCATATGTTTGCACGTATAGGAGGATTAGGAGGAACTTGACGGAGGAACAAGGGGGAGAAGAAGGGCGGAAATGGTGGGGGAAAGGGAGAGAGGCAAATCATGAGAGACTCTTGACTGCTGACAAAAACTGAGGACTGATGGATGTGGCGGGGAGGAGGGATGGGCATGGAGGAGGGCACTTGTGGGGATGAGCACTGAGTGTTATGTGGAAACTAATTTGACAATAAACTATTTGTAAAAAAAAAAAAAAAGAAAAAAGAAAGTGGACAGTGGTCTACTTCTGACCCCTCTGACCCTGAAGGGTAGTCAACACACCATTAGGTTGATTCTCTGGAAGGTGTGCCCAGGGCTGGCTTCTCTGCAGCTCCAGACTGACCACAGGGAAACACATCAAAATTTATCCTCATTAATCAGGAGAGCAATTCCCTTGAGGGTCATCCAGACAGAATCTGCTTTTTCTGAATTTCACTTCATCCACCCTTTGAAAAGAGAGTGGGTATTTTTTCTAATTATGGAAGCACTATGATCTTGGAAAATCCCTGACATCATGAGAATAAATTTTAAATAACTTGAGAAGTAAAACAAGTATCATTCATGCACACAGAAAGAGTGCTAATAATAACAGCTCAGATGTAGTAAGCACCTCCTCTGTGCTGGATGCTTTTGATGACATTTTTTTCATCTACTCCAAAGTTGTAGATTCTATTTCATTCTACCTTTACAATCAAGGAAAAGTGAAAGAGGCTGCTTACTTTGCTCAAGTTCATATAGCTACAAAGAACTTGAGGCAGAATCTGAATGACATTTTTTCTCACCGTTCACAATTTGGGTTCTTTACTTCTAATACCTTTTCTGTACGTATATGTATATGCACACACATAATTTTTTGACAGGATATGAATTATGCTGCATTTACAATTTTCTTTCCTAATATTATTTTTTATTTGATTATATTATGAGCACTTTCTCATTCCACTGAAAGTTCTTTGAAATCAACTAAAATGGCTGTATAATATTCTATTGTATAACTCTTTCATAATCACCAAATCTATCTCCAATTTTTTAGCGACGCAAATGGTTTCTATTTCTACCGTGAATGTGCTGTGCTGCGATCATGTATGTGCACACCTCGACTTACTTCCTAAGCATGCACTCCTGGGCACAGATACTTGGGTGCCAGCTGAGCACATACCTCCATGATTTCTGGATCCTACTCCTCCACCCTGTCCTAGATGCCCACCTGCCTATAACAGGCACATGGCACATGACTGCAAGGTAGGGGGCTACTGGCCATTTTCTTTGCTAAGAGGCTCACTTCTTTGAGCTCCTCCCCACCTGGAGTCTCCCAACTAGATGAATAAAGGTGTTGCTTACACGACAGCCACATAGGCTTTTCCCCATGTAGGGAAAACGCTGTATAGATACAGGCACCCAGTAAGGCATAGAGGAGAACCAGGAGCCCTTTCTTCTTCCCTGGCTGAGCCCCATACTGGGGGCAGGAATCTGCATTTTGGGACAAGGGAATGCAGCAGCCCATGGCTACAGTCTATATCAGCACATGCTTTCTGCTGCCACAACCTCTGCAGATACTGCCTCTGAAAGGGAACGCAGGTAGACTATCATTGTGATCTTGGAACTGTGGGGCTTGAGGTAAAGAGAAGAGAAGCAAATGGGCATTACAACCTCATCCCAAGTCCTGCACCACAGTGGGACCCCCAAATCAATCTGGGATCAAGGCCCAGCATCTTCACTTCAGGGACTTGGTTACCATAGACTGGCAAAATTGTAAGCTCAATGCAAACTCCGGTACTAAGGCACTGAGTGAGACACGTTTGATCAGCATCTAGGTGACAACTGGGAAGTAGTCATTTAGTTAAATATATGACACTGGCCGCAGCTGAGGAGACAATGAAACTCACAGACAGGGAGTGTTTGAAGCAAAAGGCAGAGTCTGGTAGAAACACAAAATCCGAAATGGAGTATATATGTCTGTATGTGTCTGTGTGTGTACTTGTGTGTGTGTGTGTGTGTGTGTGTGTGTGTGTGTTTCAGTGTGTTCATGCCAAATGACCTCTGAAAATAAACCCTGGATTTTCAGCAAAACAACTCAGCCAAATCCCTCCATGAGGATTATACACTTGAAGAGTCAGTATAAACATCAAAAACGCTTCAAAGTATATTCTTTTAGGTTGGGAATTAATACTGACTATTATAGCTGGTTTTATAATCAGAGGATTCGGTTTAAAAAGTATTAAATACCTCTCTTACCCATTTTTACTTTGAAGCGTGTTCTTATTTTCCTCTTATGTGTTTTGGGTCACGTACTGCACGTGTGTTTGTATTACTTGGGGACACTTTTGAGGTTTCCCTGACATCGCAAATTGACAAGATAGTTCCCCTGAAAAAATTCTTATTGTTATAATCATAATATAAAATTCTTCCCCTACCAGAGTCTGGGATAGTTTCCTCTTCATTCTGGAGGGCATAGTAATGCCTCGAGTCTTAGCACCATCTACTTCAGACATAAGCATTTTCTTCCTCCAAAAGATTAATTTCATCTTAAATAAAACCAAGAATTGGTTTAATTATTAATGAAAAACAGGTAAACTGATAAGTGGAATACCTTGATTTTCCACATTTGTTTGAGAAATATTGCTGTTTCTGTCTTGATTTTCCTGAAACAAAACCAGAGAATAGAAAAATTAAACCCTGAATATTAAGGTGGTGCCCCTCACCCCATTACACGGGTTCACACACACACATGCATGTGACCCCCTCAAATTCCTCATATAGTCACAAGTCTTAGATGCAAGAAGGGAGGAATGCTAAATCCTAAAGGACCACAATAAAATGGAAGTATTAATGTTCCTGAGTCAAAGGGGAAAAAACCCACAATCTTCCATTAAGTAGGATTTACAGTAATTACCAAAGATGATGCCAAAGTGGGATCAGATAGCATCTCGGAGGTCTGTGGTGTGGGCCACTCTGGAGAGGTGACTGGGCACAGGATCTGGGGCTGGGCAGCCCAAGAGGCCAGACACCAGGTTTCACAGCCTGACTTCGGCTCTGTCACTAGCACAGTGGACAGGATATTTATTTTTCCTGCTTCCACTTCCTAAGAAATGTATTGAGGGGGAAATACTATATAAAGTCAAATGTTTGTTGACAATACATTAAAAATTCTAGTGTCTGTAGGTAAGAGACAAATTGCTGGGTTCTACTCCTGAAGCCAAGGCTACACTGTATGTTAACTAACTTGAATTTAAATTTTAAACATTAAGTGTTTACTGAATGAATGAAATATAATTTCCATTAAGTTTTATAAAAGATTGAAAGTGGATAAAAGATCTTGAGGTTATAGACTAGAGGATAAAGCCAACGTTGTATCTCAGGAGGAATGCAGAAGACTGTCTTGCATTCCACTGTTTTGAAGGCTGCCTTCTAGAATATCTTAAGTCGGAACTCTTCAATGAGAACACGAGAGAACTATTAACAGATTTTTCCATATCCACTGCTAATCCAACTGGTTCCCCATTCTTCAAAGGGCAAAACTGTCAGTCTGATGACACAGAGTTCACGCTTCATGAAAACAAACTTCCAGGGAGCACCTAGATTCCATTGCTTGGGAAACCAATATGGTTCCCATGTTGTTTAGAATACCTGGGTCACAGGTTCATGTTTGTGGAAATGGTTGAATTGAAGATATTTCCACTGTAAACCTTGTTATGAGATTCGATTATGCAATAATGCCCATAGCAGTGCTGGTTATGACTGCTCCATTACAGATAATTTATGCAGACAATGGCCATGACTTAGCTCCTTCCAAACACTGATGCCCAGATTATTCCACTGGACTTTTGTGGATGTCAGCGTGGTACTGGGTTAGTGGTGTAGATATGAACCACTCATCTATTAATTCACTCACTGCTTTACTTACTCATTTAGGCTGTAGTTACAGCATCCTTTCTATATACCTGAAAGGGTTAGTGATTCTTTTATTCTTTTAAATGACATCAAAAATAAATTATAGCACTCCTACAATTAACTGCACATGATCTTTCCTACCTGCCCACACCAAAGCATTTCCAAAGCCCTCCTGATGAAAACAGCATGAGAAGGAAAAGCTGAGAAGACACTTCCCTACACATTCCCTGTCTGAAAGTTTGTTTCGCTACATCAACTCTTACCGTGAACCTTTCTGGACTCAGGGCTTCCAGAGGAGAAAAGCGTTTGACACGTTTCCTCATGCGAGCAGGTCCCTCTCTCCAGTCCAGTTCCCACCTGGAGCAAAGTGTGGCTTCTGTTGTTTGGCCCCACAAGCCCAGCTCCCCAAAAAGCTGCTCCTGAATCTTGGCCCAGGCGTTGGCTGCCTTGATGTTGTCACATCTCCGTCTCTGGGAAGCAGAAATACAGGGTCACTCTTAGACACATTTCCTCTTGGGCTTGGGCTCGAACCTCTGGGGGTGAACACACCAAGCTCTCTTAATTGGTTGAGAAAAATAACCCCCTACAGGCAGCCCTGAGCACCCGTGGGGTATGTACTATATTCTCTGGAGCCAGGACCAGGCCAGGAGAAGATAGCATTTTTTCAGCTCTGAGACCATTCAATCCAAGTTGGGGGAAGAGAAAAACATTTGCCCAATGGCCTTCAGAGCCATGTGGCTGCTGGGCGTCATGCAGAGCACCACAGGTCCCAAAGGTCCTGACACTATTCACCAGAATAGATTGCACAGAATGGATTCTATAAATGGGACACAGAATCTCACCACAGCCCTACCCTTCAAAAATGATGCTGAAATTACTCCTTCCAGTGTCTGGACTGGAGGTGTGTGTGTGTGTGTGTGTGTGTGGCCAGGAATCACAGACCTGCTAACAACTGGTAGATTTGAAGAAGTCATCCCTGCCTCTGGACCTCAGAATCTCCAGCTCTTAAATGAGAAGTTTGGCCTATATATTATCTAAAGGTCTTTCAAATCCTAATATCCTAGGAGTCTAGAATGTTGAAAAATTCTAGAAAATCTGTGGAAACTAAAACCTTTGATATTAATGACAATAAACCCTTACTGATGAAATCTTTGTAGTTTGCATATGTGGCACTTGACTGACACCCCTAGACTGCTTGTGTATGCCACACTGAAGTTTTCTACATCACCTGTCAAAGGAATCTTGACATCTGTCAGTTTTGACAGCTGAATCTGCTGTCTTCAGGGTGAACTTTTGCAGTTATTCAAATATTTGATGATTATTTGCGCTAAATTTTGATTTAAGTTTTCAGAAAATTGAAAGGTATGTTAATATCAAGAAGCACAGATCTCACCAACTTTACATAAAGGGAAAAGGAATCATTATCATGCATTAGAGCCAGGCCCCTCTCCTGCTGGATCTCCTTTCCTGTACCCAGTGGCACCATGAGTGAAACTTGAAACTTGTAAATAATTTCTATTATCGTCATAAAGAAATCAAGTCTGAGAGACGAGAAGTGATTTCTCCAAGGACCACCAGGTAATGGGGCTGAGATTCAAACCCAGTCTGTCTGATTCCAAAGCCACCACTTTAGCCTGCATGCTAGAGTCCTTTCCTGGGGACCTGGCATCAATTTTATTAATTCATGATTTCTGATGGTATTACTTCAAAGACTGGCATGGCAGACTTTGAGGTAGGCCCTGTAAATCTAGGCCATTTAAAAAATTTTTATTTATTTATTTACTTGTTTGTTTGTTTTTTACTTTGTTTTTTAAATAGTTTATTGTCAAGTTGGTTTCCATATAACACCCAGTACTCATCCCTACAAGTGCCCTCCTCCATGCCCATCACCTCCTTTCCCTTCTCCCCCACCCCCATCAGCCCTGAATTTTGTTCTCAGCATTCAAGAGTCTCTCATGGCTAGGTCATTTTGAACAGGTACATTTTGAACTTGAAAATTTTGAACTTGAAAATTCCCATGAAAATATAACAGACAATACAGTGCTCATTCCGTGGTCTTTGGGGTCAGATGAACGAGGGTCATCATAATGTTTCTGCTATTCTCTGGTAGTTTCATGTAAAGGGACTTCATCAAATGCAATTAAGAACATTACAATAATAATAAAACCATGGGTTTATGTAAGGATTAAATGAAACGGTATTTTCAAGAGTTTTTATACAGTGACTTGCACAGCATAAACAGTATAGTTATTGTGAATAAAGCAAATTCTATTTCAAAGCAAGATTATTTTGTTTCTCCACAGTTCTTGAATTTACATCCAAAATAGCATTTTATATAATACTCTGACTTGTTAATAAGAAATGCCAGAAAAATAATGTCTGTCCTGTCCAAAGCCTTTTATAGGGATTAGGTTATATAAAATGAATACTCGTTTGGGGAAAATATTTCAGCTCCCTGGAGACTATCACTGGGTTTGGAATAACATATGGAGCTTCATAGGGGATGGACAATACCAAACTATTTGGTTGTCCACTTTGGGCTTAAAATTAGTATTTAAAGAATATCTTCTTCACCCCAAGGATCTACCTAGGAACCTGGGGGTTTATAGCTACCTGAGTCTTTATCAAAGAGCAAATAAATTGTCTCAATACCTGCAGCCAGACAAGTGTGTGTCAGTGGTGAGATCCCTCAGAGGTGAGTGATTGTTTAGTCCATGATAGAAAGCTACGAGTGGTCCCAGGACAGGACATAGGATGATCAAACAACAAAAGCCCTGAGTTTCCATACCTGCAAGGTGCTGTGTTTTTTTTTTTTTAATGTTTATTTGAGAGGGGGGCAGAGAGAGGGGGACACAGAGGATCAAAGCAGACTTCACGCTGATAGCAGAGAGCCTGATGAGGGGCTCGAATTCATGAACCATGAGATTGTGACCTGAGCTGAAGCAGGACACTTAACCAACTGAGCCACTCAGGCGTGTCACCTGCAAGGTGTTCTGTAATGCCTGTGTTTCTGCATAAGGTAAGGTCCTCTTTCAGCATAAGGCTTGCCCGGGCCAAATGCCACACCAGAGACGCAGAGGCAGGGTGTCCGGTATGTTAGAGGCAGCTTTGACTTGGGGCTGAATGGAAACTTTTCAGTGGCATCAGTGGGCTTTCTTCTGGGCAACCAGCCCTTCCCTGCTTTTGGTCCCTCATGCTTTGGAGGGGCTGATCCCAGCCCTGGCTTCAGCTCTGAATGTCATCCAAGCTGTGGAGGATGATTACGGGATGGACTAGTGCATATCATTCCCCAGGACGGGGGATGGTGTTCTCTGGAGCCCATCCAGAGCAGACAGTGCAGAGAGGTGGATGCATGGTGCACAGTCGGGGTCACCTGCCCCACGCCAGGATGCCTGTATGTGCATCAGAGGTGCCCCTGAGGCAGAGACAGCCCACAGGCATGCAGCTCAGCAAGAAGATGCTGCCTTTGCGCAAGCTAGAAAATGGTTCCCTGGCCTTTACATGAACGCTGCCTAGTTCTAGGACGTGCAGCTTGAGGAGCAGAGTGTGAGTTAGCCTCAGACACACATGCTCTTCATCCATCTGCCTCAAATTATAGGAATCTCCTACATTTGTGTGTGTGTATGTGTATGTTTATGTGAATGTAGGGTGTGTGTGTGTGTGTGTGTGTGTGTGTGTGTGTGTAAGAAAGAAAGAGAGAAAAGGGGAAAAGAGAGGAAACTGATTGCTTAGAACAGAGCATAGATACCTGGATCCAACTCTTCCTGAAGCCTGATTCCCTCACAAAACAGTTCACTTGCTGCCTAAGCCAGTTTGAGCTGAGTTTCTGATATTTGCATTTGAAAGAGCTATGACAAAAATTTAATGAATATACAGAAACTGAGCAAGAAATGGCAACAGACTGTTGGCCCAAAAGCGTGGGATAGAACACTGCCTCTCACATACTAAAGGAAAGGCCATGTGTGGGATGGCAGGCAACTTCTAAAGAGCTTTAACCAGTAAAGCCTGGAATGTTTTAAAAACAGCATAGACGGGATGAGGCTTTTCTGTAAATTATGGTGAGGAATCGTCACAAGAACAGGATGGTCCGGGCATGTAAACAGAGCAGAACCAGAGCGGCTGGACCACAGAGAAGAGAGAGAATAGAGTTTGGAAAAGGCAAATGGGAATCTGGGCAGGGCTAGTGTAGAGGAAACTGTTTTTTGCCAGTACTTCTGGAGTGACAAGAAATTTGGGAGATTGGATAGCAAAGTGCCTGATTTGCTGGTAATATAATGGTGGGTTATAATGATGCTTGAGTGAACTTTCCAGGGCACTGGGGAATGTTACCTGGTCAGGCTGCAGGCACCTGCCATCTCCAGAGACCTCTCGGTTGTGGGCAACAGGTCAAGTTAGAGAAGTCTTGCACCACCTATTATGGAGAGCCCTGTGGGCCGGGATCCCTGAATCTCACTATGACCACCCTTCGGAGGAACCTCACTGAGTACACTTGGCATGAGCTGTCCTTGAAGAACATGGCAGGTTTCACCAGCCTGATCTCTTTACAGAATGTGGATGTGGCTTTTCTGGAAGTGGAGTGGGGCTTGCACTGGGAAAATGTATTGCCCCTTAAAAAAGGCAGGGTGTGTGATCCAGACCCCATTATCTCTGGCAGACGGTGATTACCTCTGCATTCCTTTAAACGTTGAAACAATCTGTCTTAAATATTTAAACACTTGGAAAGTATCCTTATGGATCAGCCTCAAAATGCTGATTTTCTCAAAAATACCTCAAACAGTAAAACTCTATACAACTTTCTGAAGTATTCTCTGAACCCCGTTCAGGCCCGCTGCTGAAAATGAACCTGGCCAAATGTTCTAGAAGGCTGTGGGTACTTTCCTTGTGGGCTTGGAGCCTCTGCCAAGGTTATGTCCTTCCTCCATGAACTTTCAGTCTCACAAATTCCAGCAGAAACTCACAAAGTACCACACAGTGCATCTCTCCCAGCCATCAGCAAATCTCCAGGCTCTTTCAGCTGGAGGAAGAGAGATGCTCACATTCTTGACAGGGTGCTGATTTGGATGTTTAGACAAACAACCTCCTCTAACTTGGAATGAAATAAGTGTGATGAGGATGTCCATAAATAAAGGATGTAATCTTAAACAATTCATCTTATGTTCCCCAAAGAGCAGTTGAATTTATTAGCCATGTTGCTAATCCGGAAAGAAGTCAGTGAATACAAATGGTGGGGCACTGATGTGCAAAGGCCCATTGCAGGGGCTCAGATACCATGCGCTAAACCAGCAGGGCACTTTACCAGCTTTGCAGGACAGTCAGCAATGTGAGGGCAGGGGAAGTGTCTATGAGGAGGCCCTTCTCCAAACTGAGAGTCTGCTTAAGATCAGCTTGTGCGGCCGAGGAGCCAGAATGCCTCCTGATAGCTTTGATGGCGGCATGTCCTGTAGATGCCCAAACTCCTCTTTCACCCACATCAAGTCTGATAAACTGCCCCTCTTCTTACTCACAGAATAGCAGGGGAGGCTACATTGCTAACCTGCGTGTTTCTGGGGTGCAGGCTGCACAGCTCATGAATTCTTACTTCCAGGGACATGTGTGGGCTCACAAATGAGCTTATTTGGAGGGAATTTGACCAGGTTACGTGGCTGAAGTTGATCAGAGCCTGACACTTGGGCATGACTGTTCCACCCTTCTTTGACCCCTCACCCCACCCCAGGCATGCCTCATGGCTCCTTTCACCTTACTATTCTAATCTTTATAATAGAACATCCTAGAATTAGCCTCATCATGCTGCTTATGGTGATTTCTTTACTCTTGGTCTCTCTGCTGAGTTTTAAGAACTTTGAAGGCACAGCAGTGACATTATGATCTCTGCCCTTCCTATACTTAGCACAGACTTTGGAACAAAGAAATCATAAGTAAATAATATCTTTAGTAAGGTTTTAATACTATATGTTGTGCTCTATTGTTAGCAACCATTTTTTAAAATGTTTGTTAACAGGGGTACCTGAATGGCCCAGTCAGTTAATCATCCAGTTTTAGCTCAGGTCACAATCCCATGGTTTGTGTGTTTGGGCTCCATATAGGGCTCTCTGCCGTCAGCACAAAGAGCGCGTTTTGAGTCCTCTTCTTCCCATCTGCCCGTCTATTCCCCGTTCACGTCCTTTCTCTCTCTTTCCCTCTCTCTCAAAAATAAAATAAGATGTTTGTTCAAAACAACACAGACTAAAGAGGAACCTCGTACCCATTCCATATCCACACATGGGGCATGTATTCCCCGCTGGCCATTTCTTGGTGCTCTATGCTCACCCTTTAATCTTTACAGTTAGGGAGTATTATCCCTTCTTTGATATGGGGACCCTGAGACTCAGACTGCAGGCCCCGGGAAGAGGCAGACCTGAGACTCAACTAGAGATCTCACTGGCATGACAGCCAGTACTCTTCACCTTGACTGTCCAGAAGTCACACCCAGAGAAGTGTTTTAAATCTGCCCTCATGGTGGCAACCCATTGCATTTAGGATAAAATGCAAAAGCCCTAAGGGGGCAGCAAACGCTGTGTGCTTTGGCCCTGCCTTATCTTCCCCAGCCCAGGTCACCCAGTGGCTTCTTCTTCCAGTTAACTGATGGCATCCAGCTCTTTCCTGACCAGGAACCTCCCACATGCACTTCCTTTAGCCAAAAACACATCCTCAGAATACTTCAGTCCATCTTCTTCCTCCAGATCACAACTTAATGGTCACTTTCTTGGAAGGGGCCTCTGATCTGCCCAAGTTAAATTCTCCCCACATCATAATCTCTCATTATACCTGTATTTTCCATGTCTCTTTCTCATCCTGAGTAATAATGATCTATTTATTTGTGTATTTATTTCATATATATCCCTCCAGAGAGGTAGAGTGCAGCTACTAGAGAGTGAGGCCGTGTCTGCTCTGTGTACAGTTGTGCCCCTACCTCATAGCACAGGGTCTGAGGCACCCTGGGCTCTTGACACTGGGTAGATGAGAGGATAAACATGCTGCCTACTTCCTCAGCTGCTGACAGTGGGGGTCCACATTCACTGCGCAGGTTGTGCAAGTAGGTCTGAATCATTGCTGGCCAGCTATTGACTTAGCCAACTAGAACTTAAACCAAAGGCCTTCCTGACTCTTTATTTCAGGTTCAGGGTATATTCCAGTTTTCTGTGCAGAGAAAAGAGCTGTCCTGCTTCTCACCTGTACATGATCTTTGTATAAAGAAGCGTATAGTTCCTGCCCTCTTCTTCTGTAGTTCTCGATGCATGACACGAAATCCTGGAAGAGAGAAAACAGGTCACAGATTAATGACAGCTGTGATTTTGATAGACCATCTCTATCTGACCAATTATCAGGGGAAATAACAGGTACAACTTTTGTTGGTCAACTCAATCACAACCTCATAAATAAAGACTTAGCCTATACTGACACCACACACACACACACACACACACACACACACACACACGTCTATGGGTTACTTCCACCTCCAGCTGTCATGAGTTAGCTTACAACAGATCAATCTTCCTCCCAAGAATAAAGAGAAAAGTCATATTTAAATAATCTGCCTTATGAGAGCAGAGAGCTACCAAGAGAGCCAAGACTTAAGAAGACAAGATCTTAGAGACAAAGAAAACTCACTGAGATGTGCCTAGTGCCTGATATCTATGATTTTTTGCCCCTGAGATATTTGCAAGTTTGCAAATAACACAAGAGGTTGAAAAGCTGAGCAGAAAGTGGTGGCTAAGAAGCAGAGAAGCTTAACAGAACTTGTGGTGCTTTCACGTGGCTCAGGAGACAAAAATAGGAATTCAGGCTCACCAAGACATCTAGGCTGTAAGAGACCAGAAGTCCAGAAACAGGACAGTACAAAGAAGCAAGCCCAGCTTTATGCACTGATGTTCTCTTTTACTCAGTTTCTGATTTATAAGCAGTGTGATTTGTAAAAACCAACAGGATTGGGGCTTTAAAGTGGGATCTCTCAAGGGCTGCACCATAGGAATAAAGGTGGGCTGGAAATAGACCAGGTCTGGGGTGCCTGGGTGGCTTAGTCGGTTAAGTGTCCAACTTTGGCTCAGGTCATGATCTCGCAGTTCGTGGATTTGAACCCCGCATCAGTCTCTGTCCTGACAGCTAGCTCAGAGCCTGGAGCCTGTTTCAGATTCTGTGTCTCCCTTTCTCTCTGACCCTCCCTTGCTCACGTTGTCTCTCTGTCTCAAAAATAAATTAGAAAAAAAAAAAAAAAGAAATAGACCAGGTCTTACAAAGCTGAAACCCAACTTTCAATGGGCTCAACCTCTGAGTACATTATGGTGACTTGCCCCCACTCCAAGTACATCTCCGAAGGCAAAGAAAGTCCTTTCTGGAAAAGGATCACACCATCTGAAGCTTTTACCTGAGAATTTTCATACAAAATGTTCAGTAGTCAAGCATAAATTGCTAGATAAATTGCTAGCTGTCCCTAGAAAAAGGATGAACAGATAAGCAGATAATGAAAACAAACCCCCACATATATCCAGATATTAGAATTACCACACATGGACTTTAAAATAATGGAAGTGAGGTAGTCCAAAAACATGCAGTATGGAGACTTTTACAAGAGATACGAAAGCTATGAAAAAGAACCAGATAAAATCCTAAATCTGGGACATGAATTAATTGAAATTAGAAACTCCATAGGTAAGTTTAACAGCAGAGTGGATACAACTGAACAGAGAGAGAGTAAAAGGGAAGAAACCTTCTTGCTAACTAGGATGAGATAGAAGTATGAAAAAAATACATCAGAGATATAGGTACATATGTAATATAGAGAAGGCATCTAGCATAGGTGGATTGGTGTCTCAAAAGGGCAGGGGACAAAGAATGGATCAGAAGCAGTATCTGAGAAGTTGATGAAAATCTTCCCAAATGGATGAAGGGCGTTGAGCCACAGATTTGAGAAATTCTGTAAACCTGAAACAAGAAAAATAGAGGTAGAAAACCACACAGAAGCCCATCACAATGAAACTGCAAAAAAAGGAAAAAAGATAGAAAAAAGATCATATTATCTTTAAAGAAGTAACAGTAAGAATGGTAGAAGCCAGAAGACAATGAAACAACATCTTTGAGTCATGAAAGAAAAAAAAAAACAAAAAACACTGACAAGCTCAAAGCCTCTACCCAGTGAAAATATCTTTCAAAAATAAAGACAAACTAAAACATTTGCAGAAGAATAATACTGAGAGCATGTGTTACCAGCAGCTGCGTGAAGTGAAACACTGAAGGAATTTTTTAGTAGAATGACAATGATTTCATATTGAAGCATGATCTTTGGAATGAATGAGAGAATATAAAAATGGTAAACATATTAGTATATCTAAATGGATATTGGCTGTTGGAAAATAATAATAGCAATAATAGTAATAACAGGATTTAAAAAATAAGAATTAAAATACATGATAAAATAACAAAAGGTAGATGGAGTAAATGAAATAGTGTCGTAGGTTTCTTTTCAATTAAAAATTTCCGGGGGTCCCTGGGTGGCTCAGCTGTTTGAGCATCTGACTTGGGCTCAAGTCATGATCTCACAGTTAGTGGGTTTGAGCCACATGTTGGGCTCTGTGCTGACAGCTTGGAACCTGGAACCTGCTTCGGATTCTGTGTCTCCTTTCTCTATGCGCCCCCCTGCCCCCTTACTTTCTGTATCCTTCTCTCTCTCTTGCTCTCAAAAATAAATAAACATTTAAATGTTTTTTAATTTGGAAAAAGGGTCTAATTTACATTAGACTTTAATAAAACAAATACGAACATTGTTATTTCTAGGCTAACCACTAAAAACATAATGAAAGAATGTGACTTCCAGGTAATAGAAGAGAAGCACAACAATTTTAAATAGCTGACAATATGTTGTCAGAGAAAAAAATGGAATAAATAACAGATAATACAAACAGAAAATTTTTTAAATAGTTTATTGTCAAGTTGGTTTCCACATAACACCCAGTGCTCATCCCCACAAGTGTCCTCCTCCATGCCCATCCCCCCTCCCCCCCACATCCATCAGTCCTCAGTTTTTGTCAGCATTCAAGAGTCTCTCATGGTTTGCCTCCCTCCCTCTCCCCCACTATTTTTCCCCTCCTTCTCCCCCATGGTCCTCCGTTAATTTCCTCCTAATCCTCCTATACGCGCAAACATATGGTAGCTATCCTCTGCCTGACTTATTTCGCTCAGCATAACACCCTCAAGTTCCATCCATGTTACTACACGTGGCCAGATTTCATTCTTTCTCATTGCCATGTAGTATTCCATTGTTTATCTATACAAACAGAACATTTTAAATAAGATAGATTTAAACTAAAATCATCATTAACCACATTCACTGTAAATAGACTAGATGTTATAAATAAAAGATAAACTGAGTCACACCGTATCAAAAAGGGAAACTCAAGAAAATGCTACTTAAAAAGAGACACTCCTTGAAATAAGGACACAAAGGGTTGAAAGTAAAACAATGGTACAAAATAAAATAAAATTAACTGGACATATGCTAACCAAAAGAAATCTGGTAAAGTTGTACAAGTAGTGGTCTTTAAAGTAAGAATTACTATTAGGAATAAAGATGGATGTTTCATAATGATAAAGGATAAATACACTAGGAAAGTGTAAGTTCTAAATGTGAGGCATCTATTAATATAGCTTCAAAATATATAATATATAATATATAAAATAACAGAACTGAAAGGAGAAGCAAACAAGTCTACAATCATACTGGAAGATTTTAACTTATTTCTCAGTAACTAATAGAACAAGTCAACAAGAAGGATAGAAATAAAGAATATTTGAAGACTATAGTAAGCAAGGCTAATCTGATCAATTGTTTTAACAGAATGCAGAAAATCAAATGATACAGAATGCTCAAAGGGAATTACAACCAAAACCTGCCATAGGATGGAACACGAAACAAATGTAAAATAATTTCAAATGACTGAAATTACACGGAATATATTTTTTGAACATAGTGGGATTAAGTTACAAGCAAATATATTTTTAATCCTCATATATTTAAAAATTAAGTAATATTATTTTAAGTACCCCATGGGTCAAAGAAGAAGTCAAAATGGAAGTTAGAAAATATTTTAGCCTAAATGAAAATGAAAATATCACATAATGAAGTATGCATCATAGAGCCAAAACTTTTTTGTGGGAATATATGTAATCATCAATGGTATTAGAAAAAATAAGCATGTAAATTAATCTATCAAGAAACTTGAAAAACAATTTAAACCCAAGGAAAATATATTTAATATCTCTCCCAGAAATTCTGATAAGAAAAAAATGTCCTTTTTTTCTTATCAGAAATTACCAGCAACAAGAATGAGACAATGAGACATTATTCTAGTTTCTACAAACACTTAAAGAATAATTATGAATAATTTTTATGCTGATACTAGACACAACGTAAGTTACCAAAACTGATACAGAAAGAAACAGAAAATTCGAATTGTGCAACATCAATTATAGAAACTAAATCTGTAAATAAAACTTCCCCCACAAAGAAAGTTTCAGGCCTGGGCATAATTAGTAGTTAGAGGATGAGAGACTAAATTTGAGAAAAAAATTCTGTTAAAATCAACAATAGATAAAGCATAATGTATCACTACGAAATTAATACAGATCCTTCTTAAATTTCCAAAAAATAGAAGAAGAGGGAACATTTCCAAGCTTATTTTATAAGGCCAGCATCATCCTGATACCAAAGCCAGATAGACATCACAAAAAAAGAACACTATAGGCCAATATAAGTGTAAACATAGATGCAAAAATCCTCAATAAAATATGAGCAAATAGAATTCAACAGCATATAACAATAATAATACACCATGACCAAGTAGCATTTTTCCCTAGGATAAAAGGATGAATCAACATCTGCAAATCAATCAATGTAATATACCACATTAACAGAATGAAAAAAAAAAAAAAGAAAATATGAGCACTTCAAAAGACACAAGGAAAGCATCTGACAAAGTTCAACATTTATTTACAATAAAACTCTCAACAAAAGAAGTATAAAAGGAATTTACTTCAACACAATAAAGGCCATATATGAAAAACCCACAACTAACATCATAATCAATGGGGAAAACCAAAAGCTTTCCCTCTAACATCCACCAGACAGCAAGGATGCACACTGTCACTCTTCAACACAGTACTGGGAGTCCTAGTCAGAGGGATTAAATAAGAAAAATAAATAAGAGACATCCAAAGGAGAAAGGAAGAATTAAAATTATCTGTTTGCAGATAAT